ATCTTTACTTAATGGGATGTTATTTCTCACATTGAAATATTCAAGCTATAGTGGTGAAGAAATGCTACAGATAAATTCACACTGAAGGAAAAAAAAAAACAGGAAATGGTCACTATTTTAAATGAAGGAAGAAAATCCCTATTAGGCAACTTCATCTTTTTTTTTGTTTGACTTAAAGGTGAAATCTAAAACCTAATTCTCCACTTGCACTGGTTTTATATTTGTCCCATTGACTTGAGTGGAATTAGTCCTAATGTACACTGGTATGAGAAAAACTGGATCACTGGGGTCTCATTATTTCAGATTGTAACTGATGACCTGGTAGAGCTTTTAATTCTCTGGGTAGGAGGATGCTGTAAAGGTTGAGTGGTTGTTCATCGCACAGACAGGAAGATGAGATAAGACAAAGCAAAAATAAAGTGCTTCAGACTATTTCATTCCAGGGGGCTTGTCCTCACAGGCCACAGGGGATTGCTTTGCATTTCCATTAAGACACCATGTTCTTGGAATTGCATTTTCCAGGCTTTTTCTCTGGAGTGCTAAGAGAGCTCACTGACAATGCCCAGATGCACAACATACTCTTGACAGTGATCAGTATTAGTTCCTAGTCTCTGCCAGCATCCCTTTCCTCTCCTCATCCCTTTAATTTTAACACATAGGGAGAATAACCATGTTTTTAAATCAAGTGGCTTCTCTGTGGAAGAAATTAATGGTGAGCAAGGCAGAGAGCAAGCAAGCACTGACAGGAACACATAGATATTCAGCTAGACCATCCTTTTTTCCATTTGCAGTTTAGTATACAGCCTAATAAAGACTCTGAAACAAAAAGCGGTTTGGTATATTACGTATCTATAAATAAATTACAGCTGGCTTGCTCAGCCTCAGTGACAGCAGGCAGCAGCTCTTGTTTTTGTGCTTGGCCATAATGGGAAAAGCACTATCTCCTCTTCTTCCCCTACCATTCCTCTGGAGCAGGCTCTCGCTTTCCCAAAGGACACAAACTGCACTGATCTGCCCCACACCACTACCACTCTACGGCTCGGAGGCCATCAGCAGTACACATATCACCACTAGCAGTCTCTGTTTTAGTGCATTTCCACCTTTGTGCACCATACTGCTTATGTCCACTGTGCTCTGTTGCACCATGTATTACTCTTCAGCGTCTCACCCTACTCCGTCTCACCCTTTTGTGGCTTTCAGATGCTCCTGACAAAATCTTACTTGTTTTCTGTCTCTGATTCTGCCTGGCCAAAGATAGGTTGCTTCATCTGATCTACCTGTTTCCTTCATGTGCAATTCAGTCCCGTCCTCCTCCCCTGGCAGATTTGATCATCTGCCCAGACCTTTTCCTTCTGTCTCCTTACAAACCATTTACAGGCAATTTGGAATGTCACTGCTCTAATTTGACGGTGTTTTGTGCTTACTGTGCTCAGGTCTGAGGCAGCGCAGACTACATCTAGCTTCAATAGCATGTGTTTAGACTTTTAACTATCCATTGAAATCAATAACAGGAGCCCAAATAGGAATTCAAAGCCTAAATGTTTCTTTGGCGATGAGCTTTGGTCCTATAACAGTACTCGGAATGAACTTAACCTTCCTTAATCCTTCCAGCAAGCCAACATTTGTCCTTTCACCACGGACTGCAAACAAAGAGTTTGCATTTACAAATGATCCATCTTGCAGGAAAAAAAATAATCCCTCTGAGCTCCTGAGTTCTCTAACACAATGCATTAGTACCTTTGCTGAGGGGATAAACTTTAGTCTTGACTGAGAAAACTGAACAAAAAAGCGTTTGATCTGATTGACACAGCTATTCTGGTTCAATTGGGTAGTATGTTTAATCAATAAACTTTGTCCTTTGGAATACTAATGCTTATCTTGTAGTTGCTGCTTCTCAAAATACTGTTTGCTATGGAATTATTAGTTTAATATGATGTACAAATATCTGACTCCATCAAAAAAGCCTGAAAGTCACAGAGTGTGAGCAGTGGGGCTGTTCTTTGGGAGCCCAGGTGGGGTAGCTCCTAGATAATTACTCCATCCTTCATTTCTTACCATATATGTTAAATATGTTATACTTTCTTGTACATGGTGTTTCAAGTGGGCGCAGATTTCCATTGTGGTAGTATATGGTGAGTACAGTTACCACGGACTCTCATTTGGAGGTCTCAGAGTACAATCCAGTCACAGTCATCCTGTTTCAGTTCAGTGAGTTTTTCTTAATGTCACTAGTTATGGAAAACTGACCTCTTCATGCACTTCTCAGATGTTAATGAAAATTGATGGATGTATTAGAATACTGAAAGACAAATTGGGTACACCTTTTTGATTGGTGCCTCTCAGTTCAATAACATCCTTTCACACACAAATTAAGTTGTAGGAGGTATAAAATTTTACATTACCATTGGAAATAGAGCCACTATGTCTGGATCATCCCTCTAAATGTCCACAGACACTTACTGAAATATAATTATTGAGGATGGAGGCATTGGTGTTAATATGCTACTGAATTTGGAGTAGGTTGTTGAAACTTTTTTTTTTTTTTAAACACATCCTGGAAAAACAAATAGCTTTGAACAAGATACGGAAGCTACAGAAATGTAACATTATGTTTGTCTTTGCTGGTTATTGCTGCATTCATGAATATTTTTCCTATATGTTTTTAAATGAATAATGCTGGTGTGGTTTCTCAACAGCTAACAATTATGATTTTGAAAGGCTTTAGACATTTACTGAATATTTTATGTAATTTTAAAGGGCTTTCTTTTACTTACTGACGAAGGTTAGTATCATTTACATAATTATAAAGAAAAATTCTCAAAATATATTTGAGGTGATCCTACTCTTAAAATACAGAGTTTGGGGAAAAAAAAACAACTATGAATTTGGCTAATTTTTAATAGGACCTGTGAAGAATATAGTGGAATATTTTAATAAATACAAAATTGTAAACATACATAATTATTTACTGTTCATGTGGGGAAGCAAATGAAAATATTATATTTCTTTGTTCATAATAAAGTTGTTACCTGCTTCACACAGAGATCTTGTGGAATTGACTATTTCTCAATAGTATTAGAAACAACTGTTTCAACATAAACAAGAAAGTGTTCAACAAAATCAATTTATAAGTACTATATTCTTTAAAAATATTCACCAGTCTTGGTTCAAAATAAATAACGTCTACAGAATACATGCATCTATATGCACTGTGGGTGCCCCCTAGGAATTTTTATACCTGTTACTCAATTTGAAAAAGAAAAATTGACAGAGGAGTGGCAGTTTCAAAAATAATGTCTGCTTTTATGCTTCAGGAAAGAGAGGTAGCTGAGTAAAAGGAATATGTTAATATTGGCACCTCTACTGAGAGAAAGATGGCAATATTATTGAGAAACACACAAGATTCCACAGAGAAGAAGGATATTATGAATATTTCAGCTGCAGTGCAAGCCTTGATCAGATAAAATAAAGTTTTATTGCTCCTGCTGCTCCTGAAACTATTTTATTTTATTTTTAAATATATATATTTGTTTCTATGCACAGATTCTGAGAGCTCTGGAGTTGTAAGCTCTGAAGAGAGACTGGAATCAGGATGTGAAGGAAGGGGCTGTTTTTTACCTAGGAACGTTGCCTCCAACAAAAGCCTTATCTTATTTCTCTGCTGTGTCACCATGGCATGGTGCATGTGCCCTGCCTGCCTTGCTGTCAAGCTGTAGCACGGTGGAATGGAAAGTGTTCATTTATTGCCTAGACAAGCTCTAAGGGGCTCTGTTGCAACTTGCACTTTTGCTGAGAAAATGCCACATGCTGGGCTAAGTTGGTTTGTACTCAAACTCCATTAAAGCCAATGGTCTTTCCCAGGGGATGAAGATGGGTGGAAATGAAAGAAGACATCACTTAGGGGAGCCGAGATATGACTGACATGAAACACAAAACTGTTCTTTCCTAGGTCAGGAGATGGTTTTCCTTTTTCAGCTTATCTTGGCCTGGAAAGAGTTCTTTCCATGCTATCTTTTATAGCATGGGATATCCACACCCTTATTTAGGGTAGATAATAAACTATGCACTAGGATGCATATACTTCCAGACTGTGCAGCTTCCACTTCCTCCAGCCCATTGCCTCAGTCTCATTCTTGCTAATGTGTCTATTGGTTAAAAACAGCAGTACTTTCTCCCAGCTTTTCTTGCCTTAGCTGAGAAAAAAAAAAAATCTAATGCCTTATTGGTTCTCAAGCTAAACTCGGTAGTGACATGTGTGTTAATAATTAACTGAAACGTATTTTAGAGCTAAGCCTAGACACACACCTCCTGTTTCCCGTCACCAGGCTGACAGAGGCAGCATCTCATAGAATCACAGAACCACAGAATGATTTGGGTTGGAAGGGACTTTCAAAGATCATTCTGTCTGACCCCCTGCCACCAGCAGGGACATTTTTCACTACATATGATTGTTCAAATCCCCACACAACCCGACCTTGAACACTTCCAGGGATGGGGCATCCACAACTTCCTGGACAACCTGCTCCAGTGTCTCATCATCCTCATTGTAAAAAATTTCTTCCATATGTACAGTCTAAATCTGTCTTTCAGTTTTAAACTGTCTTTCAGTTTAAAACCAATGCCCGCTGGTCTATCACTGCAGGTAAAAAGTCCATCCTCGTATTTCTTACAAGCCACCTTTCGGTATTTGGAAGGTTGCTGGAAGGTCTCTCCGGAGCCTTCTCTTCTCTAGGCTGAACAGCCCCAACTCTACCAGCCTGTCTTCACCGGAGAGGTGGTCCAGCCCCCTGAGGATCTTTGCTGCCTCCCCTGGACTCACTCCATCAGGTCGCTCTCTCGCGTACCCCGTTCCCGTCCCCTGGGGGCTCACCCCGCCGCCGCCGCCCCCTCCCGGCCGGGCAGGGCTCGGGGCGGGGCCGGGGCGGGCCGGCTCCGCTCCCCGCCCTCAACCGCGGTGGGGTCCGGCCTCTTTGTGCCGCCCGCCCCAGCACCGCGCCGTCCTCCGCGTCGCCTCGACCCCGCTCGGCTCCGGCTGCCGGCGGGGACCGGTGGGTCAGCCCGCCCTCGCCCTGCCGGGGGCTTGCCCGCCTCTCTCTCTCTCTCTCTCCTTCCCCTCCCCGCCGGCGCTTTACCCCGCCTCGTCACTCTGCCCTCAGCGTGGGCTGCTCGCCGCCCCTTCCCCCCGTGCTGCCCGTCATCCCGCCGTGCGCGCCGCTGCCCGGAGCTCCCCCGCCGTCGGGGATGGCGGGGCTGGCAGCGCCCGTGCGCGCCTGAGCCCCAGCGGCCAGCCCGCCGCCGCTGCGGGAGGAGGAGGAGAGATGAAGCGCTTCCAGCCTGGGGTCGCGCTGCTGCTCTCGCTGCTGTGGGAGGTGAGATGGGCCGGGGAAGGGGGCGCTGCCCTGCGGCAGCCCTGGGTTCACCCCGGCGGGATCCGCTGTCGGTCTCTACCTGGAGCTGAGCGGCCGGCGGGGCGAGGCTGCAGATTGCACGCAGCTGGGGGGGGGTGGGGGGTGTGCGCGGGGGAGGTGATTTATTTTGGGGTTAATGCCTTTGTCGGAGAGGGGTGGCTCCACGGGCTCCCGGGCAGTGTGCGGGCAGGAGTGCGTGGGAACGGCGGGGAGGTGCGGGCAGGGCTGGGCGAGACCCGGCGGGGCTGCGCTGCCCGCGGGGGCTGCGGTGCGGTGGTTTACGGGCTTGGCGGCGGCCGGGCTCACCTCCTGTCCAGTGTCTTATTGCGGGATCAGAGGAAGATTATCCGCGGTAGGATGGAGCAGAGTAGCACGGGAACCGTAGGCAGGGGCACAGGCTGCGGGAACCTTGCCCGTTTCCCAACAGGCTGACTGACTCTCTAAGGGGTTTAGAGGAAAGCGCATCTCATTTGAAGTGTCCTTTCGTGGGCGAAGTGTCCGTGGCGGGGTAGATAGAGGTGCAGCGGCATCAGCTCAGGAGGAGCTGTGGCGGCACCGAGCAGCGTGGGTTAAACTTCTGGGAAAGCTTGGGTAGCACAGCTGTCGTAGTTACAACAAACAAACAAACAAGCAAGCGAACAAACAAGGAATTAGGAGCTTTCATTAACCGGAGGAGGTATTTGTCCCACGCAGTTACAGAACCATAGAATAGTTTGGGTTGGAAGAGACAAAGATCATTTAGTTTTCACTTCCCTACCGTGGGCAGTGATGCCACTCGCTAGATCACGGGGTTGTGAAAAACAGCTCTTTTTTTTTTTCAGCAGGCAGATCCGAAGATGTTTTCTGGTGGCGAGCTATCATTTGGTCTTTGGTTTAACCTTGGGGCTAGGGTCAGGCTGGGGGGCCACCCTGGGACGGGTTCATGGCGGGCACGCTGCCATGTGCAGCTCCCGGTGACAGGTTTGCCAGCGTGCGGGAGTCATCGCCAGGACATGTGCGGTGGCAGCGTGCCGGGGTGACTTCGGAAACACCAGTGGGCTTGTCTTAGGTACATCTCTACATTTATAGAGCCCAGAGGCGGTGTAGCTGAAAATGTCAAGAGAGGTGGAGAGCTGTGTTGCCTCTGTCGTGGAGCAGTTTAGACAGAAAATGAAATATTTCTTTTTAAAAAGCAGCATACAACCAAACCCATACATGGAAGCCAGAGTGCTGTCTGTGTAATTATTGCTTTCAGCAATGGATATAATTCATGAAAATTATGTTTACTACATGTTTTATGCCACCTACGTAGATGAATGATTTCTGGTGTGTTGCCCACTATGTCATCCAGCATCATCCCATTAAAACACTCAGATCAAAATCACCACTTAATGTAAATAAATGTAACTCTTTACAAGTTAATTGGTCTGCATCTCGTTACCCCGGCTGTAAACCTGGCCCTGATTCTGGCCCACAATTGCTCTTGACTCTGCAGAAGCTCTTCAGAAAGCAGGAATAGCAAAATGTCAATTAAATGAAACGAACACCACCATTTCCCTGAGGGATTCTGTTCATCTGAGACTGTGAAAGGTTTTGCCCCTCCAGGATCTGTTTGATTAGATGTCTCTGGTCTCTTAATGTGTATGCTGCTGAAAAAGATCCTTAGTGCCTGAAAAAAGTAATTTGCATAAATCCTCTTTGGATGTAGCCAATGTTGCTGTTATTTAAGCTTTTGTACTGGTTTTAATTGTGGGCTTTTTCCTTTTAATCTAGAATGCTTGTTTTGCCATCTGGTTTTGTGAATTTTTTTTTTTTTTTTGGAAATGCTTAGGATGTCTATTAAACTGAGATGCTATGTAAATAAGGTTGTATTCTACAGGAAAAAAAAGGCCCAGAAAGAGAGTGTTAGGGGTTTAAGTAACTTAAACAGAGACATCTGGTTGTTTTGAAGGTTTTTGATATGTGAAACTTTCACTGTCTTCTGCACAAAGTTCTGTAATGGATATTATCTGAAATAGCATTGCTGCAATTGTTTTAGATATATTTGCAGCTTCAGTATGATCTTGGTTATTACTGAACAAAGCATGAGCTGAGCAATATGTTTTTCATTCATCATTTTACAAAAGGTTTTAACTGTTACCCAAATACCGTGAGGAGGAAGCCGTTTAGTCCTTCAGAGCAATTTGCAAGTTTACTGACTCTAACCAAGTTTTCCTTGGTTAAATTACACAAAATACATGTTGCAAGATGCTCAGGTATGGTCTGTTCGTAGGCATGCAAAAACACTGGTTTCTGGTTATCCCGATAAAAGGAATAAACTGCTTCACAAGTAAGCATACATCAAATCCGTGGTGGGCGTGAGTTTGGATGTGGGGAGCATGTGTCTTTGTGGCTTTCTGGTTGAAGCCTGGTTGGTAGCTGACTGTGCCAGGCTCCCACGAGGAAGTGAAGGTTTGCTGTTCCTGGTGTAAAGGCAGAAGATTCAAAAGTAGGACTGAGGGGCAGGGGAAGGCACTTGCCATGTACTGGTGGGTCCTTTCACAAAGGCATTGCTAAAGGCATGACTATCAAAGCAGGATTTACACATAAGAAATTGCTGGCTCTTGATGGTAGGGTGCCAGTCCTTTCTCTAGAAGAGCTTGAGATAACACTAATTACAGAAACACTCAGAGCACTGTGGTGGTAGGAGAGGGTAATTAATTTTGAGTTTTCTGGTTTGATGAGGGTTTTACACTGTAACCACAAAGACCCATGATGGAAGAAACATCTCCAGCCCCAGGTCCCAAGAAACTCAGCTCAGAAAAGATCTTGTTGTTAGGGGAGAAAAACCAAAGATGCCATTGGTTTTGTTCACAATGTAATTGCAGTTGAACGGTTTAGCAAGTAAGCCAAAATGAGGCGGATGACTTGACAGGTAATTTTGGTTCCTGCAGGAAGAAATGAAGACGGTTGAATCTTTATCTGTCGTTTTCAAATTAATTTGGCTACTTGGAGGTAGCAGTGTGTTATTAACTGCAGTTGCTTGAAATGCCCTTTTCCACATGGAGCCTGGGTGTCTGGTATACCCGTGGTACCAGTTATGCGATTTCAGCGTTCACAAATAACCAATGGTCTTGCTAGCATGGCTTCTGGTTCCATCAACAGGACTTTGTTTTGTCTCAGTTTTATGGAAAGCTTTGAGGAGGTCCTTAAAGTGATGTCTGTTTTGGGTATATTTATCAAGATTTTCTGCTTCTGTTTTATCAGTGATCCCAAGGGCTTTGGCTGTCTGAGCTTAAATGTGACTTTAATGAATAGTGATATCTTTGGAATAGGAAAAAATAAAACTAAGCAGGCAGTCCCCCCCACCCCCTTGATGATGAAGTGAGCTTATTTTCAGCCTGAATGAGGGCATCAGAGTGTCTCTGTGGGATGTTCTTCTCAGACTGAGTGCTTGCTTTCTCTCCCACCAGCTGCAGAAGTGCTGGATGGAGGAGAGCTTAGTGGCTGAGACTCACCTCAAGGATGTGGAAGCTGAACAGAGCTGTTTAAACCCAAGAGAGGACCCTGTCTGTGCTGCAGTGGTAATAAAGGTGTTTTATTGCTACTGCTGCAGAGTAGCTTGCTGGGTAGCCTCAACTTCCAAAATAATTTTAGGTATCTAAGCCCCTGGTTGGCCCATATGTTGTGTCCAGGGTAATCTAGGAGCAAGTGCAACTGTCTGAATATTTAAGTCAAGCTTTTTAGTGCTCTTGATTAAGATAAGCTGACGCCTACAGTAGTCACTGTAGGTAATGTGAGATTTGGGTGAGAATCTGTCTCCAAAGGTTTCCACCTGGCTATCCAAAATAGAGAATATCACTTTTGGATATAGTGGCATTGATATTTCTAAACACCAGTTTCTCATTACTGAGAATTATAGTGTGGATGCTGATAGAAACTGATAATTGGATGGTTGAAAAAAGTGATCAAATTAGTTCTTTTCTTGTTAATTTGTCAGATGAAAGATAATGCATAAGAGCCAAGTGCCTTTTTTATAAGAATAAGAGAATGGACATGTCATAGGAACAGCAAAGTGTGTTATCTTGAAGGAAAAGTCAAATACTCCCGACAGTCTGTCATACAAGATTTGTTTAAATAAAAGCAAAGTTGGCTGGTGCTTCTCAGTTGGGTAACTGCTGTGTTGAGCTTTTTAGTATTATTTTTGTAAGTGGACTTCAATAGGACAGATTTTATCAAATCAGAGAAACCTAAAATATCTGTCCTTCCTGAAGAAGTTTGTGTTAGGTTTCTTTGTGGTTTTGTTTGTTGTTTCTTTTTTATAAATCCTTATAGGAAAAAGAACATTAAGATGAGCAAACCTACCATTCTTAAAGACCTGCACATTTTGATCATAGTAGGCACAGGTAGAGTTGAAGAAGTTGTGAGGATTATGGAGACCACCCTACCCACCCCATCTCCTGTTTCTGGTACTTTTTCTATCCATTAGTGGTCAGGTTTTCCTTTATGTGCTACAAGAATGTATGTACCCTTGAATGTATGAATGTGCGTGCACACCGTGGTTGTTGCCTCTATGATGCCCCTCTCTGTGGAAGCCCACTGATACTGTCCTGTTGATGTTTTAACTCTTGTGGGTGGTTGTGTAAGTAGGGGTTGGGAAGAATAAGGGGAAAAGTCTACCCCAAAAATTCTGCAAGAGAGTTGTTGGTGTAGATGTGTCCTCTAACCCTCTCCTGCTTTTTGGTTTTAGCTACATAATGGACTTAGCAGCTTAAGCAATTTTTGGTGGTTTTTTTTCCTTACCCTTCTGTAGCTGGTTGCAGAGTAGCTCCTGTGTTGCTGAGTGAAGGCAGGAAAGAGCTTACTTATGATTTATAGTTTGAGGATCCAACTGGTGCTGGCAAGTCTTCCCCGTCTCTTGACAGCAGGGAGATGGGCTGTGATTTCCAGGCGGGAGGACTGAGCTTGCACACTTTTCTCACTTTACTCCTGCTGAGGAGGAG